TTTCTTAAATCCCATTTTATTTTTTAATCCAAGGGCGAATTTACGGCAGAATTTGGTCCCTCAAATAAGGGACACGTGAGCTTTGATTCTAACCGGATACATTGCACTGGGTCGGGGAGATAGTTTGCTAAACTTCCATGCATCTTTTGTCCAATGGGTACCTGTACTTCGAACATTCGCAAGTTTTTCTAGGTAGTGCGAGACAGCTTTGTCTTTTGACCTATTAGTTTTGTGCTGACCTCTTCTCCGCGTCTTGATGTTTTGTTTTGCTTGTCATAATACTCACTGATTGATGACTTTGTTTAGATTTTGAGTTACAACTCGGCCACGACCTTTGCTTTTACCGTGAAACATGAGGAAGTTTACGTCAATTGACGGACATTGCATTTTTTAAAAACTAATGAAGCACACTGTCTATCATCCCCATTTTTTCATTTGCTGATTTCTATTCTGAAAAATTCGACCGTCCGAAAATGCACCTTAATTTTGACTATAAAAACACGTCACATATCGAACACAAATTATTTAAAACCGGTCGAAATTTTGGAGTTTTTACGGTACTTTAGATATCAGTGTGAAAGCTTAAAATTGGTTAATTATGCAAATTAGGTAATTAATATGTACAGATTTTAACCCACAATTATTCAGGTCTGTCTATTTAAATAATTTGTGTTCGATATGTGACAGCATCCATGTACATTCATTGATATGTGATGTATAGTACCTGAGATATCAGTGTGAAAGTTGGTTAATTATGCAAATTAGGTGATTAATATGCACAAATATTTACCGGAAACTAATTGGGTCTGCATAATTCTAGATTCATTGAAATGTGATGATTAGTACTTTAGATATCAGTAGAAAAGCTGAAAATTAATTATGCAAATTAGGTAATTAATATGCACAATTATTTACCCTAAAACTAATCAGGTCTCTGCATAGTCCTAAAGGATCTATGTACCAAGTTTCATTGAAATGCGATGATTAGTACTTGAGATACCTGTGGAAAAGCTGAAAATTAACTAATTATGCAAATTAGGTGATTAATATGCACAAATATTTATCGAAAACAATCAATCTCTGCATAGTCCTTGAGTATGTAAGTACCAAGTTTCATTGAAATGTAATGCTAACTACTTATATCAAATGCTGAA